CTTTTTAGTCGTAGCGCCATCTATGAGAAATCTATTACAAATTTATCAACCGGATCGAAGGAGTTTTTTCTGAGTGTTTTTTCTGAGTGTTCGATCTTTGTATTAATAATTATAACAGTCTATTATTTTTTTCGATAAAATTTAAAGAAAGAAATAAAAAATTAAAGAAAATATTATTTAATTACTTAATTCATGTATTTATTTAATTATTATTTCTTTAATTTAAAGAAATATTGTAAATGATAAACGACAAAAGTTTATTTACAAAGAGCAGTCCGTAGAGATTCTTGCTCATTCGTGTCGGGGGAATCTGCCGTACGAATGTGCAGCAGAGTTTAATCAATGTCAATCAACACAGATTATTTGACAACGAAACCGGAACACAGAATCCTCACATTACTGCTTGACTGCAGAAATAGGTTAAGGTGGCAGTATTTCCTTGGACGCACTCTTTCGCAAGGATATCTACTGCTACTTAGACAGGGTCAAGATCACGTAGTCGATTCAGCTCTATGTCCGCTTACGATAAGAACGGTGAAAAGGGCAAAATGTCATGATGTGCTGTTCACTTTACGAGTAACCCGCTTCTAGCAGTTTTTTTTTCATTATGCATATATATATATGAAGGGTACACGAAAAAAAGGGGCTCATCGACATTTTTGGTAAAATTCAACCTACCATCTTCATTTGATAAATTTCAAACATGCCATTGACGTGATTTATTCAAAACAGCTTAAAATGGGCTCAGTCCACAGTAAACCCATATAATAAAAAATCCATAAATGACTCATAGGGGCCCATTGCAGCGCAAACACGGCTAGAATGTGCACATTACATGCGGAAGCGTTGAAAAAGGTGCTCATTTTCCAGTCCAATTCAAGAACGTGCCCATTGCGCAGCCATTTTGAACGATCTGTCATCCTTTGGCGCGTTGACATTAGGAACGTCAAACACATTTTTAGATTTCGTGGTTCGTTCGATAAAGTTGTGCGTGTTCTTGCGAATTTCGAGTAGAAAAGTAATTCGATAAAATGGAAAGTGAAAGAAAGTATGGCTTTAATTAATAAACTTTTGCAAATTAATTATTTTTTATTATTTCCTGGTTACCTATAAACACTATGTCAAAGAGGTAATAAGGGGCACATTGCAGCAATCAACCCCTTTTTGCTATGGTAATTTGTAAGTTACTTTAAAAAAAATGACACAACTTTGTTATGATTGAACATATTGTTAAAAATGATGATTTCAGTAATGTTATAGACAAGTGAAATGTAGAATATACAGATAATAACTTTTAATTCTGGCTCTTTAATGAATAATTAAGGCTTAAACTTATAATTAGCCATTTTCTCTAATTAATCTCTTTGTAGATGAGCCCTTTTTATTCCTTTACCCTTCATATGTAATACAAAACTATGTATCATAATTTTATACAAAACTATGGAATACAATTTGTATAAAACATTTTTCTCTACAATTAAAAATAACAATGGTACATTTCTAAATAATAAATAACCTTTAACATCGACTTGTATTTTACATTAACATAAGGTATACAATTCGTAAATCTACAAGTTTCGTAAATCTTTAAACCTCTCGACTGAAAACTTGTCATTTTTACTTTCAAAATTTTGAATCCTTTTCGATTACTGCCATTTTAGTCTAATTGTTAAAACAATCACGATGCTTCAATAAGTCTTTATTAATCATTGACTTACAATTATATGGACGTCGGGTCCGCGCTAAAAAGTGACCGAACTTATAGGGCGTTAAAATCGTATACAGAGCGTCATTCACGCTTTAGTCTTCGTTTGTTCGACTGACAGCGAAGCAAGCAAAATTAGACAGTACTGCGATGACATTACAATTTAAATTCAACGTTTTAGCTTTTTCATATTCCTTTACATGTCACTACGTTTAAATAGATTGACTTGGGACATTTTTTTCGTGGTTTTTGTATTAGACCCGTCGTCCATTTATTTGTAAGTCAATGTTATTAATAATGGAATTGTCTTTTCTTTTTATTTAATTGGCTTAAACGTCGATACAACCTCAAATGGCTTTGGTTGAAGCAATCACTTTGGAAAAAATATAAAAGAATAAATAGAAAAGAAGACACAACCTTACCTCGAAAATTTACAAGAAAACCGCTGTATTCAGTAGTATACGTTACATATACCAATTATTATTTTATATCAACTGAACTAAATAGAACACTGTGTTATAGTACCTACATACATTATTGAAATGGCTTCAGTTCCGTTTGTAATAAATAAATTCTGAAGGAAAGCATTGTCTGCTCGACACAAGCAAAATCAAAAACGGGAAAATTTTGAACTCGAGCTCTGAGATAGATCGACTGCTAAGTAATCCTACGAGCCGGATCAGAATAAGCGACCTTCAGGTATTCAGGTATTATCCATCGAGACTTAGAAATGGAATTCGTAAACAAGATAGAGCAGAAGTACGCCGAAGCCCACCAACAACTAGATTTCCACAATCGCGTGAATGTCGAGGTCATTCAGCTCTTTGACAACATCATCATCGTCAACCCTTTTGTACATCCCACTGATAGATAGATAGATAGATAAACACTTTATTCACTGATATAACACAAATACAAATTAAGCTTAACAGAAATAATCTCAGTGCAGAGTACTAAAAAAACCGACCTCCAAAGTATAGGAATTACATCTATTTGCTAAGTTTTATTGAAATATTCATTACTAAAAATGGGTTCTCACTACTCAAAGTATATTGAGAGAAAAACGCCTTGAATTGGAGAATAGCAAAACCGACCATTAAAATAATTGCTCCTTAAGTAAAATTTAGGCGCTATTTATAAAAATGAATCTTCATGTGTGAACAGCCACTCTTAGAGGTGGATAATTTTCTTCAAAATGAAATGGGACCACTATGGAAGTACCCCCTTTCCAACAAAACAAGAATCATGAAAATCGGTTCACAAATACCGGAATTATCGCGTAACATACGTACAAAAAAAACGTACATTCGAATTGAGAACCTCCTCCTTTTTTTAAGTCGGTTAAAAACAAAACATGATTGTCATAGCAGTGAAACAGCGCTGACTCAGCATATGCCATAGTTTCCTAAGGCGCTGGTTTTCAGTCAACACCAACGAGAGGGATTAAGCTATTTGATATGCGTAAAGTTTGACAATAATTATATACATGGTAATGTGCAAATAGTGCATCTAAAATAACCTGTTTGACATGTAAGTGCATGAGCGAATGTGAATATAATTACAGCTGTAAGTAAGGAGTAAGTTGTGATTGTAAAGGGGTTGTTAATGTTGTGTAATATATTTAGAATATATTATAATTATACACACAATGTGAATAGATCAAAGCAACAATAAAATTATATTCTAGACAGACTACGTTAAATAATTAAAAACACACTACACAGATTTTAGAAGTGAGACTAGGGGTCGTATTCTAGAACTCTATTCAATGCTCAAGTCAGGATTCGAAATCATACTCAAGTCCCTGCCATTAGGGTCGTATTTCCAGTGCTTGTGTTTCCAGTACAATCCTGACATTGAGCATTGAGTAGAGTTCTGTAATACGACCCTAAGTGTTGCCGGTACAGTGCTTTGAATTTGGGTTTGGATGTCATGTCACTGCTGGGCACGGGTCTCCTTTCAGACGAGGGTTTAGGCCATAGTCCGCCTCTCTGGCCCAATATGGGTTGGAGAGCTCACACGTTTTCCCTTACATACCAAAAAGGTTATTATGGATACACTTTACTATATATATATACGCATAGTCGTTATATTTTTGCTTTCAAATAACTTATTCCCTCTCGTTGGTCCTGACCGAAAACCAGCGCCTCAGGAAACTTAGGCATGTGCTGAGTCAGCGCCGTTATCTGTTATGACAATTGTTATATCTTCATTTTATGCTTAATCTGTATTTGTGTTATATCAGTGACTAAAGTGTTTATCTATCTATCATCATATATTTATATGTTAAGTTGCTAAAAAATACAGTGTGATTTGATAAGACCTTAATAACAATTATAAATCATCCTCTTCAGATGTAACAACCACAATAATAACCTGGTCTCCGAATTGGGAATTCCCCATACTTTGAGAACCAGGGCAACGGAATTCAATCCAAGGGTCTTACTGTGAACTCTTTTTACGATTCAGTTTGGGATATAAAATGAATTGTATATCACCATCCCGCTTTTTAAGCTGTACTAAACTGTGGAGGTGCTACTGGTGCTGGGGGCGTTCTGGTGTATTGTAACGGTGTGTAGCCTGGACAGCAGTAATAGCCTCCGCAGCCTCCAACATCTTATTTAGTAAATTTAACAATTCAAACGTTAAAAGTCGAGTTTATAGATATTTAATCGCTTTATTAAATTGGTTTTAACAAATATAATCTTTAAAATGTAAACTGTATAAATATAGCTAGTAAACGATTCAAAAAGATAAATAATAGTATGTTCGATACCGCGGTCGCGCAGGGGGTGACGATGGAAAGAAACAAAATAAGAATGCGAGGTAAAATGGAACAATTCTAAATTTAAATATGAGTAGAAGAAGAAAAAACGATACGATACGAACGGAGAGGCGATACAAAAAGGTGGGATGACGGTATAAGGAGGTCACACCGTCACAAAAGTATAATAAGAGATCATGGTAAACCATTTTACATAAGTTCATTCTCATCTAGCACTCGGATATCGACCCCTACTACGTAAAGTATGGTACGTCGAAATTGCCAAGTTTACAGGGGAGCGTTTTAAAGTTTGGAATTCACTGAAAACTCGTTAGGTACTCACAAAGACTGATAGGATTTTATAATACACTATGTGAGTAATGACCTTTGCCGAATAAAACTAAGAAATTATAAAGTCACGTTACGCTATTTCAGTGAATTCAGAACATTACAACGCTCCCTGTAAACTTGGCAATTTCGACATACTATACTTTACGTAGGAGGGGTCGAATTATCAAACAATCGAGCCACTAAGAACGTTAATTAAAATAGCAACCTGTATATGAATATAAAAGGTGTTCATTATTAGTTCATCGTTAATATTATTTTCGTTTTTATGTACCTACTTGCTTAAGCATATGGAAAAAATATTAAAAATAAAGATTAATTTCACTTAAAATTAATTCATAAATATTGTAAATATTTTTTTTTATTATTTCATTCTACTATTCAGGCTGCCTTTACTGGCTGTCGGCAATTTCGGCAGCTTCGATTACCTGAAAAAAATAGAACAGCAATTATTTCCATTTGTTAAAACAGTATAGTGATGTTGTAGGCTCTACACTGGTTCACAACATTTTTATGATCCAAGCGACGGGACCAGCAAGTCGTGCGCCTGGTGGTAAGCGACACACCTGTCCATGACAATGCCACTCAGAGCTTTAAATAGTAAAGATCTAAGAGGCACAGCTTCTACGCCATAAGTTGACAAGTCCCATGTGCCTGTAATTTCACCTTTAACATCTTACCCTTCAAAACCGGAACGAAATAACGCTCATATGTGTTAACCAAAGCTGTGTAGCCGGTTATTTGATTTGAAATGCTTATTCAGATTGTAAAAATAAGTTACAGGTTCGATTTGGGTTTAATTGAGATTTTTTTTGTGAAATAAGCAAGTAGTTTTGTTATTATTATTAGTAGAAAGACTTGAATCCATAACCTTGCTTGCATGCCAGCATAACCTGTGGCTAAGTTGGTAAGAGCAATGCTACGGTGCAGCATGGTCGTGTGTTCAATTCCCATCGCGTCGAAGAATTTTTTCTATATGCTCGATCTTTCTATTAATAATACTGCTTTGCGATCGAAACAGAACTAACAAAATAAAATATTATAAAAAAAAATCATACCGTGGTAGGAAAAAAGTAATTTTTTTTTTTAACGCACACACTCAACATAGCCCCGCACTAGGGAAACCCTGTGCCGCGAGTGCCATGGACACATACATAGACAACCACAAATTACACCCAAACTCACGAGAGAAATAAATGTAAGCCATACAAACATTTCTCCCGGCCCGGGAATCGAACCTGGGACCTCTGCGTGACAGTCCGGCATGGTAACCGTTCGGCCACGGAGGCAGTTTATTTATGTTATAGTTAATTAATGATAAACATTTGACAAAAACCTTCTGTCGTACTTACTAATCCGACAGCCATAAAGCATCTCTTCTACTTTGTGATATCGTCATGTCGTCGCAAAGCTTCTTAAGAAAGAGTTCGTCCAAGGAAGTACTGCCACCTTCCCTCTTTCTGCCGCCAAGCCGTAATATGAGCATTACTGCGTTCCGGTTTCGAAAGGTAAAGGGGTTAATTTACAGGCATTGAGACTTGTCAAGTTACGTATGAGGGTGACGTTAACTGAGTATCACCAGGCGCATGACATGTTCGTCCCGTCAATTGCATTTTATTAAAAAACTTACCCGTTTAACTGTCTTGCCGTACTTGGACCAGAAAGTAACTTTGACTTGCGTAGGCTTCCCTGTCCGAGCGTCAAACACGCGACAGGCATCGAACGGCGGACAATACAGGTGCAAGGAGACAGTGCTGTCTACGTGGGATGGGTTCTCCATGCGGTGAAGACCAAGGGCATCTGGAATTTAAAAGATTACGTTAACAAAAACATTGTTAAAATGGAAATGGGCAGAACATATTGCGAGGCGTGGTGAAGACCGATGGCGATATATGGAGTATAGAAGCAGTAGAGCTCCTTGTGAAAGAGGGAAGTACTGCCATCTTACCTATTTCTGCCGCCAAGCAGTAATGTCCACATTAATATGGGATGGGACACATGGGACTTGTTATGTCTCGGGGTGAGGGGCGCAGTCGCAATCTTTGCGATTTAAAGCTCTGAGTGGCACTGCAACTTATGGACAGCTCCCCTATCTACGACATGTGTTTCGATTATAGTGCAACAGGGCAATATAACTGGTGCAAGCACAGGGATTTCTATGTTCATGTCCTGCCCCGGATCTGCCAGTGTACATGTTTGTCACAGACACATACCGCTTGGTACGAGTTCAGCGGGCACGTTAACCGTGCGAGGTACGACCGGCGCAGAAAAGATCGTGCTGACCCAGAGCACTTCCGTCTTTGACACAAGGACGCGACACTAAGCTGTTGTATTAAAGAAATCGGAAACAACGACAAAGACAGTTTTTTCACATTGACTCGGCCGGGGACCAAACCCGGAATCCCAGAGATGGCGACAGTTTGAACACCGGTGTGCAAGCTAATGAAATGGTGTCACGCACTGCTGGCGCCGCTTAACCATGTCCTGTAGATTGTAATGTAGCCTGGAGAGCGTAGTAGCCTCTTCAGCTTCCGCAACCTCCACAATTCTTGCTTAGCGAGTTTAAAGTTCAAAAGAAATAGTAGAAATAAATCCAGTTTTATCAAAAATATTTTAATTTTTTTTTTGTGATCTTTGAGATGTTTATTGCACAAGAGATTTTTGGTAACTGGTAAACGGGTCAAAATTAGACTAACAACACTGCTCGCTACAACGATTGAGCAGAGAATGACTATGGAACGTAACAAGATGAGAATGGCGAAGGAAAGGAATTAAAGAACGATTCAAAATTTGCAAACAAGTGGCTAGGAACCAGAGAAAAGGTGATAAAAAGGTGGGATGACGATGGAAGGAGGTCACATCGTCACACTCCACCACGGAGCTTGTCAAATTCAATAATTAACCGCTCACGCGATACATGCAGCCGTAGACGCATATCACACCTAGAGGTGCCGGTGATGATTTTATACCGATTTATCGGATATCGAAGTTATGATATTAGCCGCCATTTTGCGGTAGGAGGAGCGCATCGCGGGAGCGGATAAAACTTACTCACCATTAATATAACAAACATCATTAACTTCCAATCTCGTTCTGCCTATTTCTGACATACTCTGAGCATCGTATTCTTCACCATAATCGTTTCCCCCATTTTGATTTTCAATTTCACCGTTTCCGTTCTTGTATTCACCATTTCCGTTATTACACTGACCACTTTCATTCCTATGCTCGTCAGTTTTGTTTTCGATTTCACCATTTTGGTCGCCATTTTTCGAATCGATATCTTTGCCATAGTTATCGCAGCTTTCGTTTTCGCATAAATTTAGTTTCGCAGTTTTATTTAGAATTTTATCTTCACTTTCTGAGCAACAACGCCGTCTGGGTGTAGTTTTGTTTCTCAGCTTCCTTAACACTTCAGGTTCTACTATATCGGGCCATTCGTATCTGGAGAATAAAGCATGCTAAATTTGTTTTATCGAGTTCTTAGGTTTTCGCGATTGTTAGACATAGGAAATGCAACTATTTTTCCGGATTTAAATCGCGTATATTTGTTTTTACAACCGTGACCATGGGACCTGTAAAGGGCCCGAAACGTCGGTTTGTTTGAAAAAACAAATATACGCGATTTAAATCCGGAAAAATAGTTTCATTTCCTAAATTTTTTTAGTCAAAAATTAACCCCGACACAAAAAGTACGGAGTTTTAACTTTCAAGTCTTTGTTTGTGTATCTTGATTCTAGAGTCTGTCTGCACCATCGTAGCTCTCAAACATTATTAACTTTAGGGTCCCCTGAAAATCAAAATCACAGTCTTAACTTGACTGTGACCATTAGCTGAGTGGATTCTTTTGACATTATTCAAATAGAATGAACTGTTTCAAATTGGATTATGTTTACTTCGTTGTTTTTTTTTTTGTTTTACTTTTGCTTTGTCTTTATTTCTTTCTGTATATTTTTGTGTTGCGGCGTTGTAATATTTGGATTCAATTCTTTTCTATTATAGGTTGTTTAATGACATGGAAAATAATTCTTACTTAACGTCTGTTGTCCCGACTTTGTCTTCCCATACAATGAAATCATACTTATAAGAAACTGAGTCTATTAACATTAACAAAAATAGATAATTATTAATTTTGCATAAAAATTTTTTTATTAAGTTTGACCAACGTTTTCGTTCCGTACAATAAAATGATCCCTTCATGAAACTGAGTCGATTAGAACTAAAAAAAAATTATCAATTTTATTCAATTTTATGGACAACTCACATTTGGTAAAAAAATTGACTATGCCAACATTGAGTCTTAGGTTTTCGCGATTCTTACACATAGGAAATGAAACCGTGACCGTGGAACCTGTAAAGGGCCCAAAAAGTCGGTTTGTTTGAAAAAACAAATATATACGGCGATTTAAATCCCGTCGATTCCCGTCGATTTAAACACCGTCGCGTAAACAAGTCTGCAGTCTGCGAGCATATCATGGATAAACCTACACATTCAATGAAGTTTGACAAACCCCAGGTCCTTGCAAAAGAAGTCCGTTATCTACCCAGGATGCTGCGAGAGGCCATTGAAATTAAAAAACACCCTAATATCAACAGGGAAGATGGTTTCTCCGTACCACCATTTTGGGATCCAGTATTTCCTCTAATGAAAAATCCCAAACAGACATAAGACTGCAGTACTAATTAATATGTTTCAGTTTATTCTAATTTCTATTAATAATTAATAATAAATTGAACTTATTAAAAATTATTAATTAATAAGGTATTTAATTAATAACTATTGTAACTATAGTGAACAAAATAGGGTGGTTTGCATCAATATTAGACATAACTGGTTGAAGACTGTACCACCTCAGTCAACCGTGACCATGGGACCTGTAAAGCGCCCGAAACGTCGGTTTGTTTAAAAAAACAAATATACGCGATTTAAATCCGGAAAAATAGTTTCATTTCCTGTATGCCAAAATTGTTTTCACGAAAAAAGACTTAATGGTTCCTAAAACAGTTCCTTGTATCTTCTGTGGTTTCAGATTTCCCCATTAGGTACTGTCCCGTTTTAAAAAAAAACACTATAAAATATTAGTAGACTGTAGTCTGACTGTGTACAGTCAACGTGTTCGTCGCAATTGAAGGGCAGAATACCAAAGAACTGCAATGGCAGTCGAGCAGTAGCTCGATGGTAGCCACTGACAAGCCACCAGTCTTAACTTTTAACAGAATAACAAACGCACAAAAACCTACCATTACCACTCTAGCGACAAACAACGGAGATGACTTCAAATTAGCAAATATGAGACCTTGTACCAACCTGATTTCTTCCAATTCTCCACTTAACACCTTCATAAAACAATGTGAATCAGCATGGTCGTGTATAGCGGAAGCGTGTCCTGGTCCCCAACAGATGATCATTATGTTAAAGGCTCCGTTGCCTTCGTCTACCAGGTTTCTGGTGTAGCTGGAAGGAAATGGCTGGGAGTTATTTTTGGGCTTATCGAATGTAAATAAATATAAATAATATTTGACAACATCGGAAACAACGACGGTACCACAAACACCCAGATCAGAGATAATATAGAAAACTTAGTTTCTCGAACGACCCGGCCCGGGACCTCAGAGATGGCGACACCATGAAAACCGGTGTGCTTGCCACTCGATCACGGAGGCCGTCAAAAAAACATGACAAGATATATATAAGATAAGAATGCAAATAACATGACATATTCAAGAAACAAACTAAAGCACCATCATCATCCCTGCCCATAACAGTTGAAGTGCCACTCAGAGCTCTAAATCGCAAAGATCTGATGTGCACTGCCACTGCGCTCGACACCCTGAGTCATAAGTTGATAAACCCTAGTGCCTGTAATTTCACCAGCACCCTTACCCTTCAAAACCGGAAGGCATACTGCTTGGGGGCTGAATTAGGTAAGGTGGTAATCTACTACCGCTATATATTATTATAATTTTAAATAAATGTGTTAAATCGATATTTAATATCACGATATGAAATTAAACTCCAACCACTTCAGATGTTAACGTCGTAAATAGTTTACTATTAAAAAATACGATAAGTTAATATAGATTAAAAAAATTATTATTATTTCAAATAGGTACCTTATTACTAAAGAACATTCCAATTCGTTCTGCATATATATTGCAATTTTTTTTAACGATATGAATGGCGTATTTTTTTTGTAATATTGATTATAATGAATATTATGTTTCAAATTCTAATCATCTTTCTTTCATAGGTAAACAAATTATCTTGATTAAACTCTACTGCTCAGAAGAACGGACAGGAAACTCTAGGGGTTGCTCTTTGTAAATATGCATTGACTTACAAATAAATGGACGACGGGTCTAATACAAAAACCACAAAAAAAATGTCCCAAGTCAACCTATTTAAACGTAGTGACATGTAAAGGAATATGAAAAAGCTAAAACGTTGAATTTAAATTGTAATGTCATTGCAGTATCGCGCTGTCAGTCGAACAAATGAAGACTAAAGCGGAGTTTGACGCTCTGTATACGATTTTAACGCCTTACAAGTTCGGACACTTTTCAGCGCGGACCCGACGTCCATATAATTGTAAGTCAATGTAAATATGCATTTGAATACATTTACCATTTGCAATATTTCTCGTATTTCAAACATCTTAGATTGAGACTACCAAACGGGTCACTACCACAGATTTTTGTCATCGAATCCCTATCGAGATCATACGCCAGAGAACTAAAGTGACCGATATAGCTCGCAAGATCAGTAAGCTTATGTGGCAGTGGGCCGGGCATGTCTGCAGGAGGGTTGTTCGCCGGTGGAGCAGACTTGTTCTAGAATGGCGACCACGTCAAGGAAAACGTAGTTTGTGACGCCCTGCGGCAAGATGGACGGGCGACCTGAGCAAGGTGGCCGGCAGTGGCTGGACGCCGGCGGCGCAAGACCGGGAAAGTTGGCGTGCTCTAAGGGAGGCTTATGTCCAGTGGATGCGTGTAAGCTGATGATAAAGTACGCAGAAGCTGTATAATAAACCTTTAGTATAAACTTTTTGTTTCACAACAACCTCGTAAATGGCAAAATTTTGAACATCAATTGGAATCTTATTATAGAAGCGTACATATTGGCCCTTAAATGAATTTGACACTTTATGAAAACGACTGGCAAGAAGAACTAGTAATAAACTATACATAATATAGGTAGCTTGAAAATATAAACTTTAACCGAAGAACTCTACATACTCAAGATTGTTAAGTCTAAAAAAGTATACCTTTACTTAGAACGAAAAAAGGTACAACTGCTGTATAAAGTACGCATAATTGTGCCTTTATTCGTTACGAGGTAAGTATATTAAATATTTACATAAGCTGACGATAAAAAATCCAAAGTGTTTTGCCTTTGTAATATCTTTATATAAATAAATAGATCATTTCTAAAGTAAATATGTTGTTATAATTCAACTAGTAACAATTATCAGTAATATTGATAAGCAATAGGTGTAATAAACTTGTGATATGTACTTGCATCAACGGACTTGCCACAGCTTAGCATAATTTGTCTATTATCGGAGAGGGCGACCCCTTCGCTGACCCGACCCGCTTCTTAGACGACGGCCAGGGACACGAAGGAGGCAGCATCACTTCTACGTTAGTTTTGATTATAGTCACCGTCGATACCGATCCTTAGGGTATACCAGAAGGGCGCTATAACCTGTGCGAGCATAGAAACCTTATAAGTTCAGCTTCTCACCCCAGATCAGCCAGTGTACAGTGTACTCTGTCACTTGACTTCAACCGGTTCTCCGAGAGGCTAATGCCTCGAGTGAACTCCCTATTTTTTAGAAAGGTACCGGAGCCGTAGGCACACACGATACGAAAGAGGCAGTACCTTCTTACCCCACCGTAGACCATGCTTAACGCTTGCAAAAGCGTGCGCCCGCTCCGGGGGGTCATTCGCCGAGATGCCAGTATGCGCAAGCGGATACTGAGGTGCCTCTCTATGGAGGTGGAGTTAACCGCTGGGTTTTTGTGGATCTATGGGGCTACCGCTCTGGAGTCCCATATAACCGCTCGCTGCTCCCCCGAACCCGAATGGTATGCATAGCATGTCCCAGCGATGATAAAAAATAAGGAAGTATGCCACGTACGTACCTCCTTACCAATTTCTGCCGCCAAGCAGTAATGTAAGCATTTTGGTGAAATTACAAGCACATGGGACATAACGACTTGAAAAGGTTGTAAATCCTAATGTGCTGTGACCACAGGATCACAGCAATAAAATAAGATACTTCGGCCCACAAAAATTTATTCGATAGTTAAAGGATAAGAAAGTAAAGGCTGTAAATAGAAAAGGTATATAAAACACAGGCACAATTCTATAAAACACTCCCTAACTTAATTACTCTTAATTAAATTTTTATTGAATTCATATTCAATTATTTTTTGTGAAATTACTCCACTAGTTTGTTATAATTATTAATACAAAGATCGAACACTCAGAAAAAATTCCTTCGATCCGGTCGGATTCGAACCGACGTCTTCTTGCATACCGTGCCAGACGCTATACCAACTAAGCCACGGAACGAACCAACGGACCTCACGAATTTTTCTATGTGCTTGCGTCGTGTCTTTGTACTTGGTCTTTCAACGACTTTTTAGTCTTAGCGCCATCTATGAGAAATCTATGACAGATTTATCACCCAGTTAGTACCTTTACAGCTACCAGTCCTGGCGAGAGATGTCGCTATTCACTGTATTAATTAAATTTTTATTGAATTTATATTCAATTATTTTTTGTGAAATTACTCCAGTAGTTTGTTATAATTATTAATACAAAGATCGAACACTCAGAAAAAACACTCAAAAAAAATTAATTACTCTTAATTAGGATATGCTTATGGATGAATAAAAAGCAGACACTTACCCCAAAAGGGCCGAGTTAGACAGAATTACAGATTAGTATTAACATTAAAATTAGCAAATGCAATTTAAAATTACAGCCGAACTGCTCGCTACCACGATTGAGGGAGTGACGACAGAACGAAACAAAATGAGAACGGAGGCAAAGGAATTAAAGACCTATTCAAAATTTGGAAAACAAGTGGCCCGGAACCAGAAAAAAGGCGATTAAAACGTGGAATAATGATGTAAGACACTACAACTGTTATGGACAGGCGTGTCGTTCACCACCAGGCGCACGACTTGGTATTATAAAAAAATAAATCTTTACTTACCGAAAGCGATCAAACTTGGCGTACTTTCTCCAATCTTTAGGGTCCGACTTGTAACCAGCCATAAGTTTCTGGACATCCTGTATGTTAACGTGGTCGTGGGAAAACACCCTGTGGAGTTCTTCTACTAACTTCTGCAGGCCTGTGATTTCTCTAGAAATATTATATGATAAATAAAACTATCTAATGCTAAAAAAACGAAGTGCGGTGTATAATGCCTTCAAATGTTGTTCATAATGATTACAATCATGATATTCATCTTAATATGAATAAAGTTTTCTATATATAATAAATACATTGACTTACAATTATATGGACGTCGGATCCGCGCTAAAAAGCGTCCGAACTTATAGGGCGTTAAAATCGTATGCAGAGCGTCATTCACGCTTTAGTCTTCGTTTGTTCGGCTGACAGCGAAGCAAGCAAAATTAGACAGTACTGCGATGACATTACAATTTAAATTCAACGTTTTAGCTTTTTCATATTCCTTTACATGTCATTACGTTTAAATAGGTTGACTTGGGACATTTTTTTTCGTGGTTTTTGTATTAGACCCGTCGTCCATTTATTTGTAAGTCAATGATATAATATTATAAATAAGTAGAAATTTATAACACTTTTTATTATTAACAAACTTAAATTCGACGTAGTTAAACAAAAAGGATCCAATGCACAACCAGTCACTTTCGAAATATGGCAGTTTGAAGTTTAAAAGTGTTTCTCACTTTTGTTTTTAACCGACTTCAAAAAAGGAGGAAAAAGGTTCTCAATTCGACTGTATGTTCTTTTTTTTTTGTATGTATGTTACGCGATAACTCCGGTATTTGTGAACCGATTTTCATGATTCTTTTTTTGTAGGAAACAGGGGTACTGCCATAGTGGTCCCATTTCATTTTGAAGAAAATCATCCATCGTTAAGGGTGGCTGTTCACGCATGAAGATTTACTTTTATAAATAGCGCCTAACTTTAATTTAGGAGCAATTACTTTAATGGTTGATTTTGCTATTTCTCCAATTCAAGGCGTTTTTCTCTCAATATACTTTGAATAGTGTCGTAGAGAGAACCTATTTTTATTGTCTCCAGCGTCAAGTCCTATATAGTGGCGAACTAGGGGATATTTCAATAAAACTTAGCAAACAGACGTAATTCCACGTACTTTTGAGGTCGGTTTTTTTAGTACTCTGTACTGAGATTATATATAATATATTTTTAAAACTTATAATGTCCTGTAACTCTAGAGATATTTATGTATGTTTATATGTTAGATTTTTTTGCCGATCTAAGAGGTTAGACTTTAGAAACCGTTTGGTACATATAACTCATTTTTTGATAATTTGTGGTTTGGATCCTTTTTGGAGTTTGAATTGAATTGGAGTCCAATTATAAAACTTATTTATGTATCTCTAAAATGGTGATGGTATATTGTGATGTTTTTTATTTTTCCAGAAGCTGGAATAGACTGAAGAGCACTAGAGACTAGAGCATAAGTATTCATAAAAAAAGTGTAACGACCATGACTGACTTGACATTGGCAGAATTCTTCAAGAGAAGCCAGAGACTTAAAAATAGAATAGAATAGACCTTGACGTTAGTTACTGATTAATACAGTTTCATATTAAATTGTCATACATACATGAGCTATTTACAGACGCGGCAAGCGTATTCGGAAATATTCATTGCTTCCGGATTTTCCCGATGTGCAATATTTACAACCTGGTGCAGTATATCGTCAGTTTTCCAATAATTACGTTCGATTTTCGTTACTTTAAAACAAATAATGGAAGTGTCTCCAAAACTCACACATTCTTAGTTTGAAACCTACAAAATCTTGAAATTGATTGGCCGTAGTTACAAATTTAAAAATAACAAATTCTGGATTGTTGATACAAATTAAACTTTGCCCTGTTGGCATATTGTTGAAATTTCAACACCATCAATACATATTATTGCAAGTTACGACGTTTTGATATTATATTGAAATTTAAATTGGTGTACTGCCATCTAGCGGTTAATTGCTGAACGACGACGAATTGGAGCTATTAATTTAGTTCTCCAAAAACGAAGCGACCGTATTGCAGGACTATAAGCTTTACTTTCGTTTCTCGTACCAAAAAATTATTAACAGAAAATTGAAAATATATTAAAGTAAGACTTTCTGATGATATGAAATATCGGATAATATTTTGGGTGCGGCTATAATTTTTGCTTTTCTAGGATTTAAGACAATTTGCACGAAAGAATGACACAACCATACCATACAAAGCGAAAATGGCCTGAGCTCAGATAAGTTTTTCGAGACCGATAGTTGACACGCGTCGGACGCTAGCTAACCACTTGTACTGTATTTTTAGTTCTGTGTATTATACCTACATAGCGTAAATATAATGATTAATAAATATCATAACTCACTGTTCTATCTTAATCGGTCGTTCTATGCAGAGCTGTTCCAAATCGATGCACTGCGACACCCTGCATTTGCAGTTCGCGTTTTCTATATCCATTGTTTGTTATTGTTACTCCTGAAATAATAACAAAACATAATGATTATTCACAAAGATCGAATACAAAAACATCGCTCTTCCAACTGAGCTACAGGTCGAGTTAAGAGTCCATACTAATTCGGACCGATGAATTTTGTGCAAAAAACAAAGAAACAAAAAACAAAATAAAAAAACGAGTTTCGTGAAAAAAAGAAACAAAAAAACAAAATAAAAAGAGAAAGGTGCAAAAATTAACTTGGCCTAGTGTTCATTGGAGACATCGATCTATATATAATACATGGTGATTGTTTGCCAAATATATCAAATATGCAAACACAAAATCCATGTGAAGTGCCACCATGACAAGGAGGGTAATTAATAAAAAAGCATTGTTCTTCCAACTAGTTATCGTCATTTAAAGTGTTATTAAAACCCGTTAAACTTAACCCGCCAGACAACGCGTGCCTGAACTATATGGAATAGTTCCAGAATTTACTCATTGACACAAACAATTAACCAGTTATATAATACGTAAATTGTTATTTGTTCTTCTGTCTGTTTATAAAGACGGCTTTCATCACGGGTTAGAGGTTATAACAGTGATAACTTATGAACTTACACAGAACAATGACATTTGAAACTTAAATTTATTCTGGAATTATAAAGGATTATAAAATTAGTTAAAAATATGACCCTAATTAAAAAAAAATTTTAGATGCCAATGCAATATTATACTTTTATATTTTATTATTTGGGAAACAAACAGTTTACAATTTGCATACCAGGTTACAATACAAAATACTTATATCTTAAGCCAATAAAGTTTCCAATAAAAAAGAACGAAAAACTACTTGGTATTTTTTAACACAAAAAGAAACGTAAAAAAAATAAGCTAGAAAACAAATAACCTTAACTATTGTTTATAAATGGACTTTACAAATTTTGGAAAGGACAAATATAATCTAGATCAAAATGATTCTTATTACAAGCTCTAAACAAGAAAGCGTCTTATTTTATTAATACAAAAATCGTACACTTTGAAATCCTCAGATCCGGCTTATAGATTTCTCACAGATGGCGATACGACAAATAAGTCGTTAAAAACCAAAAACAAATATACAAGCACATAGAAAAATTCACAAGTTCCGCTCATCGAGTATATAACCAGAAATAGAAGCGAAATGTCAAATAATTTGTTTGAAAATTATTCTGCCAAATCATCACGGTGACAACTGCGCTTCGATTGGCCACCCCGAATTCGAAACAATTGACGGGTGTCGTCACAACTTGAACTTTGCTATAACGGACGAAACTTGAAAAATTACATATTTAATATTTAATTACCGATGAAATGTGATTCCGTTTGTTTTGTAATTAAATGTTTTGCTGTTTTTCCCACACCACCGAATGGAACAGCCCCCCATTGTTAGCGATATTATCTTTATTACAATAAATACAGGCTATTTTTGGAATATACGGAGACGTACACAGTCTGTTGTTGGCGCTGTACTATTTCAGCTTTCTAATTTGTGATTTCAGCGTAAACGCGAATCGGTATTTAAAAGTGATATAAGGCCCATTTGCCTGATGTGTTGCCAGCGATGGATGGCTCTTACTTCGTCTCTATTTCTGTTTATATGCTCGATGAGTCCGCTAGTTTGTTCCGTGCCTTAGTTGGCATAGCGTCTGGCACGGTTTCCTGGAAGACTTGGTGGAGTAATTTCACAATAATCTCAGTACAGAGTACTAAAAAAACCGACCTCAAAATTACGTGGAATTGCGTCTATTTGCTAAGTTTTATTGAAATATCCCCTAGTTCGTCACTATACAGGACTTGACACTGGAGATAATAATAATCGGTTCTCACTACTCAAAGTATATTGAGAGGAAAACGCCTTGAACTGGAGAAATAGCAAAATCAACCATTAAAATAATTGCTCTCTAAATTAAAGTTAGGCGCTATTTATAAAAATGAATCTTCATGCGTGAACAGCCACCCTTAAAAGTGGATGATTTTCTTCAAAATGAAATGGGACCCCTATGGAAGTACCCCTTTTCCAACAAAAAAAGAATCATGAAAATCGGTTCACAAATACCGGAGTTATCGCGTAACATACATACAAAAAAAACATACAATGAAACTGAGAACCTCCTCCTTTTTTGAAGTCGGTTAAAAATAATTGAGTATCATTAATAGTAAAACATCGTGACATTAAAAAAAACTGAAAAATGTTAAAAAAGCGTCACTTAAACATTTAAATTTACAAGCAAACGACACTTTTCAAACGAAAATTATCCCAAAGGAGAAATCCTGATTCGAGCATACAGGGATGGTATAGGCCACAATCGAATCAGAAATGAAAAGATCCGTAGAACGAAAGTCACCGAGTCACGCTCAAAGGATTTGCAAGTTAAAGTGGCTGTAGGCTGGCCACATAGCTCGCAGAACTGACGGCCGTTGGGGCAGAAAGGTTCTCGAATGAAGACCACGAACCGGAAGGCGTTCAGTGGAATGATGACAGGCCACAACCAGAGGGCATCAAAACTTTCGAACTCAGAAAAATATTTCAAGAACTGCTCTTGGCCTTGACTCCGAATTTTAATTAGTGATGACCACAATAGATCAGTTATAAGGCGCTGCATAGGTCGTGTTTGGAGCCACCCCTAATAATGGAAGATTTACTTGCCAGACACAGTAATTAAAAAGTCTTAAGTATTTTTTTATGTAAAAAAGAGGCAAACGAGCAGACGAGCCACTTGATGGGAGGTGGTCATCGTCGTCGCGGACATTTGCTACATCAGATGAGCTGCCTATGCGTTGCCAGCCTTTGAGAGCCCTTATAGGGCTCACTCACACGCTTTTTGAAGAACCCCATGTCATAGCACAAAGAAAATACTTCAGGAGGAAGATCAGTCCACGTCTTGCAGGTTTGAGGAATGATGCCCGCGTGGTCTTACAATGCCAGGCGTCCAAGATGTGGGGATGGACTCTACTCCTTTGGCGGGAGATGCAATGGTGGAAACGAGACGGTAGCACCAGTTTGAAATCCTCAAAGTACTCCCTATTATAAAGACGGTAGAACACACACAGAGAGCGAACGTCACTCCGTAGGCTAAACGGCTTCACATCGTCTGTGAGTTTGGAATCGTTGACTATACGAAATTAGGTACATTGTATTCAACCTGCAAGCAGATGTGCAATAATAATGGAATTTAATGTTTTTTTATATAATATCAAGTGACGGAACGAACAACTAGTGCGCCAGATGATAAGCTACACGCCTGTCCATAACAGTCGCAGTGCCATTCAGAGTTTTACCCAACCATAGACTCCGATTATATCAGTTCAAGTACTCCCGTGTAACTAAAAACTCGACTTCAAAACATAAAAGTTATTTTTAACTATTTATCTTTAGAAGTACAAGTTACATCTTGTTACGAGCAGAGGTGGGCAGCGGGTTAAAACCCAGTCATCCCGCATGGGATTTAACTGGGTTGTTACCCAAAGCGCTGGCCAGGTTTTAATCCAATTCAACTCAAAATTGTGAGTGGAAAATATTTTTTTTAAAACGAAAAATACTAAGGATATACACATACCGATTCGATTTTAGCGAAAATCGATTAAAGTGCATTCGATCTAACGATTGTTTGAATCGATTTATTTCAGTTCGATATTCAAGCGAATTAAATACAAAGGCAAGTCGAGTCGTCTAGATCAGAAAACAATAACATTTTGCAATATTATTAAATATTATTTTTTCGTAAATAGTTTTTGACCTCGATATTGAGTATTAATGGCGCTAACAAAACGCCGGGTTAAAACCCGGGCGATTCCCCATCTCTAGTTACGAGTAAACCAGTTTTTGATATCGTTGTAAACTCACTGCCTTTCCTTTATTATTATTTAACTACATTTTATAAACTACACCAGAAGTTGGTATCTCTCGTATTGTGCACATCTTTAAGAGCTTGATTCATTATAATTTTGTTATAGATTATATCAAGCTATTTATCATTGATAATCATTGATAACAATTATAGGCAAAATTCATTTTTTATCAGAGCAATTATAGTACATTGTATATTAAGGACGATAAATAAGAAATTACTAACGAGGGTCTATTACAAGCCCTCATCCTTTGGCTTCGATCTTGTAACGGTAAACAAATACAATATTAAAGTCCGAAGCCAAAGCAAAAAGTCTCATTACCGTCCGTGATACATACAACGTTTTTTTTTAATTCTGCCGTAGATAATACAACTCGAATTAAAATGTTTTAAAAAGCAATTACGCATACAGCCATGATGGGCTGTAAAAAAATTTGCTAAATAATTAAAATCAAATTTTAATAAATTCTTTTTTATAATAAATATTTATGTAGTATGTGGCTGAATTGCAATAAAATTTCTATTTAGATAACATTTTAAGCGAATGTTTCAATTTGAATTTAAAGTAACCTCCTTGTTTGTACTTGAACCTGACCTATGCAAGGAAGTGTGTCGTGCTACAAATTTAAAAAATCTCCTTACCGACCACGGTTGTGATGGAAAGAAAAAAATAGTTTTTTTGAAAACTATAAAATTCCTAACCGGATATAAATTAACGAGAAAATTTACCATAATTTTACACAGATTTAAGATAGAGTTCAAGAACAAAATATTCCTATACATCACTTGTAAATAAATATTTGTAATGACCAGAATAATAACACACTCCTTTGTTTATTTTGATTTATAAAACGCATTGTATGAGGGGAAGGTTCTACCTCGACGCACATTAATCTCAATTACAAACTTACAAACGTCATTAACCAAGGTCAAAAGTAACGTATATCAAAAAGAGAATATGAAAATATTGATGTAGATGATTGAAGCTGGATGAGGAGATTCCGGGTTCGATTCCCGGTACGAATTGGGAGATGTCATTTTCTAAATAGATTCTGGATGAGAAGTGCCCCAGATTGAATTCTGTTGTTCTGGTACTCATAGTTGCCTGGCACATTATGATAATAATATTGCAGCGACTGGTGCTCCACTAA